GTAATTTTGTTATTACTAATTTATTCAAGAAAAGAGATGAACATGTTATTACTTATAAGAGTACATCTAATAAAACACAAATTGATTATTTTCTTATGAGAAGAAGAGATCGTCGAGATTGTAAAGATTGTAAGGTCATTCCAAGCGGGAATTTAAGTACCCAACATCGTCTATTAGTTCTAGATTTTAAGATGAAGAGTTGTAAAATAAAGAATACTAGGACTTATCATTAAAGAATTAAATGGGGGAACATAAAAGACAGAAATAAAATTATTTTTATGAGTAAAATTCAAGATTTCAAAATTTGGAATGTTCATGAAGAAGCAAATGTTATGTGGGATAAAATACCGAACACTATTAAACAAGTAATAAAAGATGTGCTCTGGGAATCAAAAGAAGATGTTTTAATAAATAAAAATAGTTAGTGGTAGGATAATAATGTGCAAGAAAAAATAAAATATAAGAAGTTATGTTATAAAAATTGGTTTAAATATAAAAGTTTAGAGAACTGAGAAAAATATCAAATAGCTCGCAGGGAGTCTAAAAGAACAATCTGTGACGCTCAAAATTCTGGTTTTAATGATATTTATTATATATTAGATACTAAGGAGGGTGAAAAATATATGTACAAACAAGCCAAACAAAGAGAAAAAAAAGTAAAGATTTGACTCAAGTAAAGTGTATTAAAGATGAAAATCAAAAAGTACTTTTCTTAGAAAAAGATATTCAACATACGTGGGTGAGTTATTTTGATAAATTTTTTAATAAAGTTTCTGAAAATACGATCGACCTTAGTGATCTTAATATCGTGAATAATAATAAAACGTTTCATTTTTACAGTCGCATTAGTAAAAAGGAAGTTAAGGAGGCTTTAAAAAAAACCAACGATGGAAAGTCTGTAGGACCTGATGATATCCCAATCGAAGTATGGAAATATTTATTTAGGAGAATTGAGAGTTTCTTGGCTTATTAAAATCTTTAATATTATTTTAAAAACTAAAAAAATGCCTGAGGAGTGGAGGAATAGTATTTTGGTCCCCATTTTTAAGAATAAAGGGGATGCACAAGAGTGTGCAAATTATAGAGGAATTAAGTTGATGTGTCATACTTTAAATTTATGGGAGAGGGTAATTGAATATAGGTTAAAACGCGTTACAAAGATTTCTCATAATCAATTTGGATACGAGCAGGTCTACTATGGAAGCTATACATTTATTGAGAGGTTTGATGGAGAAGTTCAGAGATAATAAGAAGAATCTACATTTGATTTTTATTGATTTAGAAAAAGCTCACGATAAAATTTTAAGAGATATCCTTTGAAGAGTTCTTGAGAAGAAAGGTGTTGATATGCTTACATTCAAGTCATTAAAGATATGTATACTAGAGTTGTTACTTGTGTTCAAACTGAAGAAGGATTGACCAAATATTTTCCTATTTCTGTTGGATTACATCAGGGATCGGCTTTAAGCCTATATCTTTTTGCTTTAGTTATGGATGGTCTTATTGGACATATACAGAAGGATGTACCTTGGTAAATGCTTTTTGCTAATGATATCCTTATCGTGGATAAAATGAGAGAAAAAGCCCAGGAAAAACTTGAAATATGGAGGTCTACATTGGAGTCTAAAGACCTTCCTTTAAGTAGAGCTAAAACTGAATACATGGAATGTAATTTTAGTAGTAGTAGCTCTAGTGATAGAAGTGTGACTTTGGGTGATCAAATTATTAAAAGGTGTGAACGATTTAGATATCTTGGGTCTGTTGTTCAAAGTGATGGTGATATAGATGGGGATGTTAATAGTAGAATTCAAGTTGGTTGGTTGAAGTGGAGGAATGCTTCGGGCCTTCTGTGTGATAAAAAAGTATCGCTTAGACTGAAAGGAAAATTTTATAAAACGGTGGTAAGACCTGCAATGCTCTATGACGTTGAATGTTGGCCTTTAAAAGAGAAGCATAATAATAAGTTAAGTGTTGCTGAGATGAGAATGATTAGGTGGATGAGTGGCTTTACACTTAGAGACAAAATGCGAAATGAATATATCCGTGATAGGGTTGGTGTAGCTCCTGTGTAGGACAAAATTAGGGAAAATCGTCTTAGATGGTTTGGTCACATTAAACGTCGACCATTTGATGATCCAATTAGGAGAGTAGATGTTTTAGATTCGATTTGTTTTAAAGAAAGACAGAGGTAGACCTAGGAAGACTTGAGCTTATTGTATAAAAAATGATCTTAATTTACTAGAACTAAATGAAAATATGACACTAAATAGGACGCGGTGGAGAAAAATGATTCATGTAGCCGACCCCACGTAGTGAGATTAAGGTTTTGTTGTTGTTGTTGTTGTATCCTTTATCATTGTATCACTACAAATCAGTCTCATTGTTATAGCCTTCATCATTGTATTATCATATTTCTTTCCCTTTTTTTTCTAAGAAGAATCACATTTACCCACTCCATAAACAACAAGCACACGTCCTTAGTCTCGGGTTCTCTTGCAATTGAGATATGTAATTTGTATTCAATGAGAAAGTTGTAACACATCCATGAACAACAAGCACACGTCCTTAATCTCGGGTGTTCTTGAAATTGAGATATGTAATTTCTATCCAATGATAAAGTTGCAAAACATCCATTAACATACCAATTAAATGGAAAAAAACTAAGTGTTTATGATTTGTTTATTGGTTCTAAAAAGGAACGCAAATGTGCAATTTGCAAGGCAAAAGACAAAAATTATTAGGAGCAACTGAAAACAAATATATAGCAGGTACTTGTAATCTGGCATCTTGAGAAAGAAACTTATTGTCCTTCTCACTAAGGGATTAGCAAATACTTTAAGAAATTATCAATCAAGCTAAGAAAGGATGACATCCATTTATTCACTTGAGAATGAACATGAAATGCCTGCAAAATTTCTGCTAGCTGGAATCCAAACACACCAAGACATGCCCCTTCTTCCTTCCTTTCTCATCCCAACCTCGTTAATCTGTGGTAATCCCTACTACCTACTTATCAGTCAGTGTATGTGACTATTATTCTACCTAGTAATCAAACCAGGAACTATAATATATATTTTGTAATAATTAATCACTAGTTTAATATGTTTCATATTAAAACTCTTTTAGATTTATATAAATAATACGCAAGCATTAAAATAAAATTCATAACCAATCCTTATCATGATATCATAGCCATTACTATGCGAGTTCTTATGGGAATGAGAAAATTTGAACCACTAATAAAGCACCAAAAGGCAAAAAAGCTTACTACGAGCACCACAAAAAATTATATATAGCAAATACTTTTGTAGTCTCAAGTGAACAATATGTTGGAATTCTCACCAAATGATTATCAGATGTAATTTTTCAAAAACTATCGAAAAAGCTTAGAATGAATGACATGCATCTTATTCGCTTTAGAAAAGAGTGGGAAAGTGTGAAACGTCCGCATGATTTCAGCGAGCTAGCTATACTGCTCTCTTTTTTTGTCATCTCTATGCTAGGATCCACCCTCTATGCTCTCTTTTATTGCTAACTCATTTATTAGTGCGATCCCTACTGCTTACTCATCAATTTGTGGACTATTACAATTTTTCTACAATGATTTTCATATCCATCAATCTATAGACTATTACAATTCTTATTTAATTAATATTCCCAGATTTTGCATATTTCATATTAAAGGCTCCCTTTGGATTGTGTAAATAATAGACAAGAGTCAGAATGAAATACTAAACCAGTCTCAACTAGTCTTATCATGATATCCGAGCCATTAGAATGCAGATTTTCAAAGGGAATTCTCAAGTGAACTTGTTGGTATTCTCACCAATGATTATCAGGAGCAGTCTTTCAACAATAATCAGGCAAATTTGGAATAGATGACATCCATTTATTTGCTTCAGGGGGGAAGAAATGTGAAATGTCTGCCTAATTTTAAAATATATATATATAACCAGCATTCACCAAGACTATCTCCCTCTTTGATTCCTCTATTGTTACTACCTCATTAGTTCATGAGATTCCTGCGCTGCCTACTCACTGATTTATGGACTATTACAATTATTCTATAACATACCAATCAATCAATGAGGTATTGCAATCACTATATAATCATTATTCCCTAATTTTGTATGTTTCCTGGTAGAAGCACTCTTAGGATTGTATAAATAATATGCAAATATTGATATGAAATGTTCAACCAATACTCTACAATTCCTATTATTTATTATTCATTCTTTATTTGTCGCTTTGCTGTAAAGACAGAAAGTGCATTAGTGGTGATATAGATGGCCAAAATAAGAAAGCCAATAAAGCTTCATATGGGAAGAAATACCATAATCCAACAATTTAGCCATGGAACTCCTAAAGATCAATTTAACCGGGTATTCATCATTCATTCGTTAATGATTATTGACTTCAGAACTCTTAAAGACACTCATCAATACTTCAAATTGCTTTTGCATTGCATAGAAACTAGGCCAAAAATTCTACGTTGCTTATATCAGTGCATATTATAATATAGAACACTAGAAAAAAAAAAGTTATTTGATAATGCAACCTGCTATGGTAACATTAAATTCTGGGAAAAGCTTGAGAATTCTGATTAAAATTACCAAGTCATGATAATCTACAAATTCTCACCTGCACATTTTTCAAGAGCTTCTGAATGAGGTATTTTGATATTTGTTTCTTTGTATGGCACAAATAGAAGAGGAAATTCTGATCTCAAATCTAATTCCCATACCGCAGGTTCTGTGGCCCCTTGGTTTTTTCCATCAACCTCACCTCCAGAGTAAGGCTCTATCACCCTAACAGTTTCCCTCTCCTCTATAAAAGTTTCTAAAGTTCCAACATAGACATTGCAGTCCTCAATTGAAACAATCTTCCATGTTCTGGCTGGTCTGCTTCCCCAGCAAAAATGATGCCCAACGTGATCCGCAAGTAAATGTCTAATCTCCACTTCATCTAGTATTTGCCTAAAAGCGATCCACATGAGTAATCATCAGCGATTAATTAAAATTCTAACATGAATCATCAACAGCTTAGAAAAATTACACATAGGCTATAGAATCAGTAATCCTAAGAAATAATCTTAGCCAATAATTTAAATAGCTGAATGAGAATCAATGAAAGAATCTCTCAGAAAATACCTCAGTGAGGAGCAGAAACAATGAGACTAACGGAAAAGAATAAATACAAAAGCCACAAACTATTGTTGGGATTCAAAAAAATAAAAAGTTGATTAGTATAATTAGTTTTATAAAGTTTTACATTTGCCTATAGAATCAACAGGGGAATTGATGCACCACTTTGAGGTCAAAAGTGATCATGAAATGTTTCACTTCTCAAAAAAAAAAAAAAAAAAAAAGGCACATTTACAGAGTTAATATTAATTGGAATTCCTAAACTTGAAGGGCTTGTTTGGAATTACATAATTTTTTTTTTGTTTTCTATTTTGTCTTTTTGTTTTGTGTATTTTGAGTGTTTTTGAAACAAGTTGACTTATTTTTAAAATAAAAAATAAAAATACATAAAACACACACCAAACAAACGTATTTTAAAAACAAAAGCAAAAGTAAAACAAAAACAAAAAAATCCCAGACAAGCACTAATTTATTTTTAACCAGCATGCTTTACTATGACCTTCTGCTAGATAAATGATATAGGAAATAGCTAATAAATATAGATAATTCTTTTAGATGAAGCCATTTAAAACAAAATCAGTGTTTTCAACTGCACCACACAATTTTGAATCCAACTGATCTGTAGTGATCCCTAAGAAAATGGCAAAATATGAACTTTTTGTCAAAGACAAGCTCAAAAAGAACATGTGCATTGCTTAACATGATAGGTATTGGCTCATAAACAAATTCTACTCTGAGTCCAAACAAAGTAACATGGTAGCACGACAAACCTCCCAAATTCATTTGGAGCATATCCATGTGGGTCTCTGCCATACACAGCTTGAGAGGCAATCACTTGATCTGCAAATGGTAGGAGAGACAGCAACAGACAAAAAATAATGAATAAACACTAGAATTGAATCTCTACCAAATCCTGCTGTTCTAAGAAATACCAAGTTCCGTGTGCAGAATCATGAACAATTCAATTGTCCTCTAGGCATTTCAAAAAAATAAGAAGAGACAACTTCCATAAAAAATGGCGCTTTAAAATGCTTGAACACCATGACTACAAAACCTGCCTGCTGTTCTCAAACTCCATAACAATTTTCTCTACCTGCTATATTAATATCTCTGAAACAGATATTTATTTCCATAAAATTCCATTAAATCCGAAGGTCAAACGAACATCAAAGTTCAGTTGCACAAGCACTAGAAGTTGCCATTCTTGTGGGCAAATAAATTCAGCAAATTGTGTTGATTTGTGTTTGGGGATCATTTGGTTGCTTGTAAATCTAGATATAATCGGAAAATCATTATTTTGTTTTCACTTACTGGGAGTGTGAAAATGAAATCATTAGAACGTTGAGGTAAAATTAGTATTGATTTTCAAGTACATACACCAAAACAAAATAATCTAGAAAATCCATACCATGTCCTCTAATTTCAAGAAAACGAATGAAGCGGGAGGAATGAAGCCGTAACTAAAAGAACAGAGATCACAATCTCGACAAAATGGCATGCTAAAAGTGAATTTTGCTGACTTTCGCACAACAATAGCTTCTCACTGACCGAATCAGCATAATAAAAAACCCCTGCATAAAACCCCGCCATCAGTGAAGGAGGCAACCAAAATCTCATTTAGCATACCTTGATGATGATACGATTCTGGCGAGGAAACGAGAGCTCCATGGATGGACGGTGGGTAGATGGACTCCGAAAAGATAGAGGCCGCTTTGATCTCATCGGCGCTCACCTCCTCCCCACCCGTAGCAGGTGATGAAAAGTGCACGGAAGCGTTCCTGCCCACGTGCTGGTAAGACCTCCAACCCTCATCTTTCTTGTCGCGAGCTTCTCCTGAGAGCAGGGGTTGCTCCATCTTTTGCCGAGCGAAAGCCTTCGAAAGGTAAATGGAGCAACTGCTCTATAAATTTGGCTCATTTCTTAGCAGCGAAGAAGGCGCGCGGGTCCGACCTTACGGGTTTGAGAATTTGACTAAAAAAATCACATCACAATAATTGTTTTTATTTTTTTTATTATTAATGAAATTTTAAACTTTATCAATATTAACACCTTGGTTAGGTTTCTATATTGTGTTTTTAAATTTAATTTATTAATTCAAATATGAGTAATGTCTCAAAACGATGCACACGAACTTTCAAATGGTTAAAAAGCTCATAAACGCAATTTCATAAGCCCAGGAAAATCAGTTATGCAAATTATTGTATAATCTATTCTGACTCAAAAAACCTTTAAAGTTAAATTTATATTTAAGTATCTTAAATTTTATCAATAATAGTCATTCATATGCATACAAAAAATATTTCCGCACGAATCTTGGGGCGATCCAACGGTCAAGTCAAATGATGAATTGATGAAGGAATATGCCTACCAAGCGACAAACCCTACAACAAAAAGAGCCCTGTTAGGTATAGCCTAAGGGTCTTAAAAGGTCTGACGATCAGATTAAAGCTAACCGGTCAAAACAAGGTGGGATGGTCGACTAAAAGCCAACGAAAAGATCAACTGTGTATCTAGTCGAGACCACACCTACGGTATAAGTTCACTTATCATTTAATATACCTAGCACATGTATTGTACTAAAAGAAAATCCCAAAAAGACTAACAATTAGAGCGCATATTTGCAATTCTAAAACTCATACCCTTATGTCTATAAATAAGGGGTCAATTTTCGAATAAAGATTGCGCATTATTTATTGTTCATAACTATCTTTCTTTGTCTCCCCTCTCTGTGTGATTCTATTCCTCGGGTGTGCTTCCTAAATATTTTTTGATTTAACATACTTTTAGGTGCGGTGAACATGTAACCATGAAATAAACATGAAGAGGAGCATTAACAACAGCAGGAAGAGACCAACCAGAGCGGTGTGGTGGAAGCAGGATGCACGAGGGAGTTCGTAGAAGAATTTGTGTGACAAGAATTGTAAGACTTGAGAACTTAAATCACGAACCAGGCATTGAGATAGTTCACACAAGTCCTTAGAGTGGTCACAACTCTAGGAGCAACTATGGCTTTAAAAGGAGCACAAAACCCTCCGAGAGAGAGAGCACCGACACACAATGGGAGGAGGCTAAGCTATCCCCCTGAGAGAAGTGATGGTGTGATGTATCAGGACTGCGTCAAATCCATCCCAATGGTTGAGACACATTAGTTTGGGTGAGTTGAAGTGTTGTGCCAATTAGAGAACATTTTTTTCCTTAAAGTCTTCGGAATTGAACTTAAGGAGAAATTCGAACTCTGAGCTTTGAAATTCTACAAGGGACAATCAAATCCCAACAACCATCTGACTGTTGGGTAATGTGGAGACCCGGTCCACCGCAATTTAATTAGTTTTCTAATTAAGAATCTCACCTACCGCTCACCTACATTCCCACCTACCGCTCACATACCACATCACACCTCCCACCTACGCTTTCCTGATTTTTATAAATAGTCTCGTATGGCTTTTCATATGCCACAAGCCAAGCTAGGGCCAAGCAAAGTCCTCTAAGAGAGAAAGAGATGAAGAGAGAGAGAGAGGAAGGGAGAGAAGAAAATAGAGATTTTCTTGTAAACGCCGAGGCGCTCGACGGCGTAATTCCCCAAAGAAATAAAATCCTCTGCAGCTCCATGGATGTAGGAAAATTTGCCGAACCACATAAATTCGTTGTAGCTATGGTGTTTTTCTGTGTGCAATTTTCTCGTTCCATTTTTCGTTTTACTATTGTCGTTTTTCACAACACTGACGGCTTTTGAATCTTCAGTGTGCTTGTTAAAGATATATGATGCATTCAAATGTTGGCTATTCTTCACTATTTTGAGGTCATCAGCCCTGAAATGGTTCAACGCACTACTAATTGAGGTAATTACCTACTTCACTGAATTCATAAGTCTTTTTTCTGGCACAGTTCGCTAGCGCCCAAAGGCCTAAACATAGGGTCCAATCCCCTTGGCAACTTAAGCAGAGACCCAATGAAACTTTACACTCGTTCGATACACACTTTGAGAGAGAAACATCATAGATAAAAGACTTGAAACCTAATACTACTTAGGCCTCTTTGACCCAAGGATTGAGGCTCAAAAGGTTCCACTTCAACCTAAACCTTACTAACCTCAAAGTTTTATTGAACTACTGAAGATGGCCAAAAAGCACATCAATGTTTATATGCACACTCCAAAACCTAAGCTCTTAGACCATAAACCTCAGAAGAGACCACCACAGAGTGTCGGGTGGAGACTGAAGGAGAACACACGATTGCTCGTCCGCTAGCATTACAAAAATCATCCCCGCAACAATAAATGCAGTCGACTATCACATCAACCAAAGGCTACATACGAGGAACCACAACAACAATTGATTCAGTATCACAAAAGACCTACCTAGCACCATGAGTGATCATGATACGATCACGAGGGCCCTCAGACACCTCCTCTAAGGGCATCAATGATGAAACTAATGGACGACATCGAAAACAAAAAAATTTTGAAGAAAACACCATCGATGAGAGTCGAAGCTTTTCTTAAAGACACCAGGAAGTGTTGTAAGTATCATTGGAAATGCAGACACCTTCACAATTTAATTGAAGAGTCAATCAAGGTGGGAAAGTTGAAGGATTTTGTGGCTCCAGAAGCTACAAATCAAATGCAAGGAAATGCCCTAATTATGGAAGCAATGAATGGGCTAATCCACACCAAAGCCATCCTTATAATTGAGATTGTATCTGTTATCTTTGGAGAAACTATATCATCTCATCAAGCTAACGAAAAGCGGAAACAAACTAGTGAATTGTGCATCGCCACTTTTGCCTTAAATGCTAAAAACCATCCACCCATCTTATTCACATACGAGGATCTATCCCCAAAGGAAAACCCATACAATGATGTCTTTGTGGTGACAAGCTTAATCAGTAACTATCACGTAGGGAGCATCTTGATTTACATGGGAAGCTTCTTCAACATGTTGTTCAAACCAACATTTGATAAGCCGAGCCTGTCAGGCAACCAAATGATCTTGTTGTCAGGTTTTTTATATGGTTTCTTAGGCGAGACGAAAAAAGTGCTTAGACTAATATAACTTGCAATCAGCTGTGGAGAAAATGAAAAATAGTTCACATTAACGAATGAATTTCTCATGCTAGATACTCCCTCAACTTATAATGTCATCTTTGGCCACATGCTTTTGAACAGCTTAAGGGTTGCAATTTCTACCTATCACGATGTAGTGAAATTTTTGGGGGATAGAGAAATCATCATAGTTAGTGGAAAATTAAAAACATTCACAGAGCCATCAGCTGTGTGGAACAAGAACATCTGGATATCTAGAATTTTAGAGGGGGGGGGGGGGTGGGGGGTGGTGGTGG